ACGTTTCCTAGTATGTTTTTTAGTTAGAAATTATATGTCAAAGAAACAGACGAATAAAAGAACGACAACAATTATTTATTTTTGGATATAGAATTCGAAAAATCGATGGAGTTATCATTTATTTTCGATATGTACACATTTAGTAGGAATTGACCGGAAACATGTAAATAATGTAAATATTACAAAAGGTCCTTTTCGAAATGTCGAACATCTTTCTAGGTATCCGATGTTGTAACTGAATATGTCATTCAAGTGCAGAACTCTTTTGTGGTTAAAAAAAATGTATCCACTTTCCTTCCCACATCCGGATTATTGCGAACTGGACACCACTCGACTGACAATTCAAAAATGTTTTATTAAAAATACATATTTTAAATATTTTTTGAATGTAATAAAATATATTGGATGAGAGATCACTACCTACTAAAAATTGAAAATTTTTAACTTCCCGTAGGAAACACCGATCAACCGATTTGAATAATTCAAGAAACATTCGAATCGTATTGATAAGGAGACGAGCTGATTAGTTTTTGGCGAAGCCAGGTCTAGCCGTTTCGTAGATACGCGGCAAAATGTGCTAAAAACGGTAACTCAGTTTTTAAAGAACTGAGCGTTCGATTTTGATAATTCAAAAAACATTTTACTTGCATTGACAAGATTTTTGGAAGGCAGGTGCAGCGGTTATGGACTCTCAATAAAAATAAGTTAAAAAAATGTCATTTGGCGGTCAAAAATGTTTATTGGACATATGTACATCAAATTATCAACTATTTTATAGAGATTTTAATAATGTAAACACATTTTGTGTAATTTTTTGGCGTTCCGTACCAAGATTTTTGATTACGGTACGGAAGTTCTAGCAATTTGCCTTAAGGCGCGATTCCATGCACCCCAATAGTTGTTTCACAATTATTTTTTTTTCTTTATTTCAATCTATATTTTTGGATAAATTGGACTGTAGCCCAAATTAAATAATATGCACAAACACTCTAATTAAATAAAAAAAATTGGCAGAAATAATAAAAAAAATGTACTTCGTTTTGCTAGTGTATTAAAAATGGTGCTGAACATTAAGTAACTTGCTATAATTAAAATATTTAACTGTCGAGATTTAGAACAATTACACTTACAAAAAATGTTAATAATTCTAAAGAACTAAATGTTCTTGACAGTATAGAAGCAACAGTATAGTTTTTAAATATTTTGTTTTGGAACTTCTTATCCCAAAAATATTGCCTATATAAAGTTCGAATGGGTTTCTACAAGGAATCGCTTTGCAGTTATAAATATCTCTATTTAGTTTACTTTACTTACCAATATTTTTTTATTAGTACTTTAATTGCAATATTAATGTACTTAGGTATATTATAACTGAAAATTCACATTTTTCTAAGGTGAAAATGGATGAATTATAAGGAATAATTTTTTATTTCTTGTATATTATTTACTATCAGGAAAATTCTGGTTTTGTATTAATTTTATGTATGTATTTATTTTGGTATAGAAATCTAATCCATTTATACCTCAACTCCTACGCTTATAGGAAAAAAACAACAATCCCGTAGAAATGAGAATGTTGCTAAAAATATGACTCACCCTCTCTTTTCACGTGACTGCCAGTACATTCGGAAAGACAAGTACGTAAACGCAGAAAAATACGATTTTTTGGTAAAAATCGCACATTTGGTTAAAAAAAAATATTTATGTTATTTATTCATAATATATAAAATTAAATGTCGCCAAAAATATTGGTGTAATCTGATAAATATTGTTATTACGGAGGATACTACATAAATATACTTACAATTAGCACAACAGCTTTCACTTTCTAAATACATATTTGCTGCATTATTTTAATTGAAATTGAATTTACTTAATAATTACTATTTTTAATAACTATTAACTTTTATTATTATTACTGTGAACAAATTATAATCATTATTATCAATTATTACATATTATTAATTAACTCAAAGGACTTAATATCTCTAAATGACATATATAAAATTACACAGACTTTCCTTACCTAAGACACTGACTTTGCTAGTGAAAAAAATAACTTAGGATTTCATTGTTTTCTGTAATAAAATTTCATTTATTGCTGCTGTTTTAAAGCAATTTACTTCAAATTTGCTGTTTCTTCATTCATTTACTTAAATATTATGTTTATGAGTCCTAAGTGGAGCACGAGCCTTGAGTGGCACGCTTTGAAGTGTTATTTGACGAGGGGTTTGTTCCTAAAATAAGGCGTATACATATTAAATGGAGTCTATTCCATTTTATTTTCACATTTCTATTTTTCTTTGAACTTGGATATTATGTATTTCTCTAAATCAAAATATTACGTGAGTTGTACAAATAAACAGAGAAACAGATTTGATGTCGAGAGACGAATGAGGTATGAAAAATGAATGAATCAACATAATTAATCACTTTATATGTAATATAATTGTATATGTTAAAAATTTTAATAATTTTTTATATTTTCTGTGTATTATTTCTGTTGAATTGATTTACCAAATATTTTTATATCTAACAAGGACATTTTTATATCTAACAAGGTGCATGGCATCGTGCCTTAAGGCAAATTGCTGGGACTTACCGTAATTAAAAATATTTGGTACGGAACCCAAAAAAAAATTACACAAAATGTGTACACATTATTAAAATCTCTATAAAATATCTGATAATTTGAAGTGCATATGTGCAATAAACATTTTTGACCGCCAAATAACATTTTTTTAACTTATTTTTATTGAGAGTACATAAACCTGTCTTCCCTAAAATTTAATCTCTTCATCTTGTCAATATAAGTAAAATGTTTTTTGAATTATTAAAATGGGACGCTCCGTTCTCTTAAAAACATCCGGAATCTTCGGAACGGCTAGACCTGCCTTTTCCAAAAACTAATCAGTACGTCTCCTTATCAATACGAATCGAATGCTTTTTTTAATTATTCAAATCGGTTGGTCGATGTTCCCGAAATCGTCGACAAAAATTTGTATCCGCACACATACACACACACACACATACAACCATTTTTGCTAAGGTTTGCGAAAATATTCAGAAGCCTTTGAAACGTAAAGGTATATAAAAAATTTCATTTTCGTTTTTTTTGCGATTACTATAACTTAGATATAAGTTAAAAGTAGGGATGCATATTATGGAAGAAAAAATGAGTTCTTTGTAAAAAAAATAAAAAAATTCAATTTTCCAATTTCAATATAAATTATATACATACTTAAGCTAAAAACTATTTATGATTATATATGCTATAAAATTCACACAAATATAATAATTATTGACTAATACCAATCAAAATTTATAATGCAATTATTCTTGTAGGATTTTAAAATGACGAGCTGAAGTTATTATTTCAATCTTTTTATTTTAGTTGCAAAAAGCACATAACTTGTGATTCGGTTTATACTGGCTCCCTCATCCGCCCCCGCCATATCGGTCGTCGGGGGTTGAAATGTGGATTCTGTTTTTATTGAGTCGGCCATGTTGGATCTCGTACGCATCGATATTTTTGCAATGGGGTGCTTTACTGTCCGAGGGGGCGCCCGACACGTAACTGACTGCGCCGATAAAACGACACGAAAAAATATACGTGGGCGTCCTTTGTGAAAACAAAATAGGAAGAAAAAATATATTGATTGAGGTGATGTTACACCGAGATTCATTTTATAGTTTAACACACAGAAATTTACTATTTTTTCGTGAAAACTTTTGACTTTGTTCTTCATTCAACCCTAAAGTTGAAGTTATTTTCCATATCTGACAAAAATTTAGAAATCTTATAAATAATATGAAGAAGGGTATTCTTTGCCAAATGGACATGATATTTCTCTAAAACGCAAATTATCATATTTTTTTGTTTTATTTTACTTTATTATTTGGAATTTACTATTCTTCATGAAATTGGCTGTTCATTCTATTATATGAAACTATTAAAGTTGCAGAAGCTTTTTCGATATTTTTAAAATGTATTTTTGATAGGTTTTCGAAATTATACAAGACAATTATAATTATTGCATATTTGTGCAATTAAAATTAATAGACAATTATTAATTAATAAATCGATTGGTAGATCAAATTATCGATCGAACCAACTGGAGATGGTATTTCTCTAACAATATTATTTCTTGAAGATCTTGAAGAAATTTGATTTTTATCTGTGTTTATAAATCTTTATAAAAAGCTGCTGGTATTGTCTTATGACAACAAAACTGCAGTAAATTTACCCGAAATTCGTTAAACATTCAATAACTCTATAATGGCATAGAACAACATAATAGCAGAATGTTTTTTTGCAATTTTTTAGAATACATAGTTGTATCTAAAATCAAATTTTAAACTAGTGGGGTGTATGGCATCGTGCCTTAAGGCAAATTGCTGTAACTTCTTGTACCGTAACGAAATGTTTGTTTATTATTTATAAGAATTATATAAACTGAATTGCAAAGTTGAAATTATTTGTTAAAAGTATATTAGAACTATAGTCAGAATTAAAAATTAAGTCTGAATCATTTTCGATATACATTTTTTTTTTTTTTAAAAAAAAGTTGAAACAAAAAATTTTTTTTTCCAAAACCAATTATTTTGTTAAGACAAGCAGAAAGTTCTTTGAATCATTTAAATCGGACTCTTAGTTCTCTCAAAAACTGCCATTTTTCACACAATTAGCTCCGTATCTTCGAAATGGCTAGACCTGCCTTTACCAAAAACTAATAAACACTTCTCTCAATCATTACTAATTGAATGTTTTTTAGATCATTCAAATCGGATGCTCTGTTCTCTCATAAACTCAATATCTATTTTCTGCACTCTTTGCTCTTTGTCTCCGTATCTGCTGGACCTGCCTTTGCCAAAAACTAATCAGCACATCTCTCTATTAATAGGAATCGAATGTTTTTTGAACCATTTGAAATCGGTTGATCCGTGCGCCCGAAAACGTGACTGGAAATTTGTATCCATACATACATACACACACACATCCATTTTTTCTGAGGTATGCCAAAATGTTCAGAAACCTTCAAAACGTCGAGAAATGTAAAAGTTTTCAATTTCGATTTTCGGCCCATTACAATAACTTACCCTACGGGAAGTTAATAAAATGCTAAAACACGATATTTTAATATTCTTTAAAAATATTTTTTTTTCATTCATACTTTTTTCTGCATTTTTTATTTTTTAATAATTAAACATAATTATTTAACAATACTTCAATGTACTTAAAACAAAAAGTAATACACATTGATATAATTTGCGCATGATATAACAGATATCTAAATTTAGCGATTTCATGTTATTCATAACTAATTGTTATGAAATTACTCGCTTTTTCTCTGTAATTTGACAAATTTCCGCTTTTTACACTGAAAATCAACACATGTTTATACTGCACTCTACGATTTTTTTTATATCCAATTACAAGCTTTATTAACTTAATAAAAGCAGGAAATTCAATGCAAAAACACATTTTCCAAATTGAGGCTTCATATATATTCACACATGCACTAATGTAATCTTGAGCGTGAAATTAAAGAAGGTTTTGAACCGAATTTGTCAGTACCTAAGTCCACTCGACACATTTTTTCGTTTTGCATAGAAATTCGGCAAAATGAAATGTAACAAATGAGGGTCGTAAAAAATTTCACTTTTTTGCATTTGTCGTTTGTCATGTTCATTGTTCTGTTGGTTTTTTGCGCCTGGGTCTTGAATAGTCAAATTTAAGGGACATGGTTTATCTTCCGGGTTAGAAGTTATGCAAATTTTTGCCTTGAGATGATAAATTACTTGTATGGAAAACGTCATAAAAAATACTATTTCTATACAACTCTCTGTTCATTCCAACTTCTTCTCTGTTCTTCATTTTTTGGTTGAGTAAACTTTGTTAAATTTTCATTTCTGTATATATTATCATTAATTAACTTTTTGTCAATATGTCTTCACTGCTGAGATTCATAGATTCATTATAATAAATATTTTTGTAGCTCTTCAAATATTTCTATCTAAAAGTATCGTACAATATCCACGCATTTTATATAAATATTTTTATTCATTTTAAATAAATATATTTGGCTAACATTAAACAATAAAAAGATACTCAAAACAATGATTGCCTTATCACTTCACTCTAAAAAATCGTCCCAATGGAAAAATCTATCGTTGAATGGAATAATTCTCCAAGATCTATTTATGTATTATAAAATTAGTGTAAACACAACAAAATTAGTAATATTTATTTATGATTCGAAATCCTTTGTTCCAAAACATCACTCACAAATAAATTTAGAGATTATTTTGTTATTTGATACCGTAAAAATAACATGTGCCCACGGAAAGACAATTGAGATAAACAAGATGTGGTAAATCAAATTCTTTAATGATAAAGATATGCCCTAGTGCACTAAGCAAACACCAAAAAATATGAGTAATGCTATTTATTTACAACAAGATAATATAGATTTTGGTATTTGCGTAAACCTTGAACTTGCAAATCTTAAAATTATATTTTCTGTCATGGAAATGATTAATTTTTGATATAATCAATTGTCTAGCATGAGCACCAGGTTTGGTAGAATAATGAAATTAATAAATAGTTAAAGCTATTTTTATT